GAGAATGAGGAGGAAGAGTGGCACAAGGAGATGAGCAGTGACACAAGATCACTTTCCTTTTAGTCTGCTACAGTCTCTGAAATTCCCCGATTCAGACGGCATTTAGATGTACAATAAAGACATCTACTAAGAAGAATTACGGCGATCTGCATTATCATTTGCTAAAATTATAATTTTTCTGGTAGAACCACAATTTTTATCACTTTAAATATTTTATACAATTATACAGTATTTTACACTTTACGTTCTGTGTGGGTGCAAACTGATGAAATCTTTACTTAATATATACTAAATCAATCTTCTGTATATAAAGAGAATTGAAAATGAATCTTGATGTGAATGGAATGGGAGAGGGAGATGGGAGGGGTGTGGGTGAGAGGGAGGTTATGGGGGAGAAAAATATTTTATAAAATTATGATATCCAGAACAGAAAAAAAATCAAATGGAAGTTTGTTTAGCAAAATAGAAAAATATCCTCCCTTCACAGATTGCTATAGACTGATCAAGTATTAAATCTACATTTTTGTAATATTTAGGTAAGTAAATGAAGCCTTCAAAGACTAAGGGGAATGCCTTGATTATATGAAACTTTTAAGTTGCATATGAAGTAAAAAAAAGGCAACATTTTAAAAAATGAACAAATGAATAGGGAAATACAATGTGAAGTTGTTGTAGAAAAATTAAAGTAATTTTGGTCTTCTAAGTTTTTGACATGCTTCATTATTTCCTTTGGAGATATTTTGCCATCTCTTAGTAACTTTGAAAAATTTATGATACCAAGAATAGCTAATGTAAATAGAGTATCTAAAAGGTAATTCATAGAAGTAAAGTTGATGGGGCCGGTGTTGTGGCGCAGTGGGTTAACGCCCTGGCCTGAAGCGCCAGCATCCCATATGGGTGCTGGTTCTAGTCCCAGCTGCTCCACTTCCGATCCAGCTCTCTGCTATGACCTGGGAAAGCAGTGGAAGATGGCCCAAGTCCTTGGGCCCCTGTACCCGTGAGGGAGACCCGGAGGAAGCTCTTGGTTCCTGGCTTCGAATCGGTGCAGCTCAGACCATTGTGGCCATTTGGGGAGTGAACCAGTGGATGGAAGACGTCTCTCTCTCTCTCTCTCTCTCTCTCTCTCTCTGCCTCTCCTCTCTCTGCTTAACTCTGAGTTTCAAATAAATAAATAAATCTTAAAAAAAAAAAAGAAGTAAAGTTTACACTTTGAGATGCAATGATTTTTAACAGCCCTTATCTCAACTGTTGAGAAATAGTGTTTTCTTTTTCTTCATACTACTCATTCAACTCTTAGTGTAGTGTTAATCTTTTGAGTACAAAGTTAACTGAAAATAGAACTTTGTAAAAAGTAAGAATGGGAATAGGAGAGGGAGGAAGGGGAAGGGTAGGAGCACGAGTGAGAGGGAGGTTAGAAAGTATCACTATGTTCCTGAATCTGTATATATGAAATTTATACAAGGTGTGTATAATTTAATTTAACAAAAAAAAAACATAGTTTACCTAGCATCTTGAAGGAAGACTGTAATTCATACTTTTAGCTTCATCAGTATGTAACTTATGTAGGAGCATAAGGTTTGCAATGGGCTCAGAAACTTACATACTGGTACTGCATTGATGATCCCACAAACCACCCTTCTACAAAGCCTTCTACAAATAACATGAGTTATTTGTTTAAGGATGATACCAAGATGGTCAAGAAATGATCCTCTTCCTGAAGAGTTTATAGTGCAAGAGTAGTCAAAAACCTTAGCAGTCAAATTACTTAATTTCTTTATGAGGAAGAGAGATAAACAGACACACTTAAAATACAGACAAAACTCCCAACTGCTAGTTCACTCCCCATATGCCTACAATAGCTAGGACCTCAAAGAGCTGAAGCCAGAATCTGGGAACTGAACCCAGTTCTTCCATGTGCTGGGACCCTATTACTTGAGCCATTACCTGCTGCTTCCAGGTGATCTGCACTGGCCAAAAGGTGGGATCAGGAGCCAGAGACAAGTTGCAAATCCAGGCACTCCAAAATGGGACAGGGGCATCTTTAGTAGGTCAAGGGCCGATGCTGAGGCATAGCAGGTAAAGCTACCGCCTGCTGTGCCAGCATCCCATGTGGGCACTGGTTTGTGGCCCAGATGCTCCACTTCTGATCCAGCTCCCTGCTATAGCCTGGGAAAGCAAGAGAAAATGGACCAAATCCTCAGGGCCTGGAAGAAGCTCCTGGCTCCTGGCTTCAGATCGGCTCAGCTCTGGCCTTCATAGCCATCTAGGAAGTATACCAGTCCATTGAAGACTTTTATCTCTCTCTCTGCCTCTCTCTAACTCTGCCTTTCAAATAAGTAAGTAAATCTTTAAAAAAAAAAAAGTCGTAGGTCAAATGCCTGCACCAGCAATCAAATTATAATAAAACAAAGTGGACTAAACAACAACAACAACAACAAAAAGCCCACAGGTACACATGAAGCTTCAGAGGATGAAGAGGTGACTTCTTGGAGGAAGGATATCTCTACCCTTGGAAGAAGCAGCGTTTAGTTGGATTATAAAAGCAGCATTGAACATTGATGGTAAACAGGAAAGGCAAAGATGCGTGTAGTAAATGGAAAAGCAGAGAGAATGAATGCATGGGCACATGGAATCGCTTCATTTGTGTGGGGCGAGAAGAAACCAGGCTGAAAAAAGCTGGCTGGCTTCAGTTATAGGCGTTCTTTGAATGTCCAGCCAACGAACCTATAAATAATTCAAAAGGAACTGTGCGCCACTGAAGGGTTTTGAGAACCAGTTATGCACAATTGTAATTTAGGAAGGTTAAAGCCAGCCTCTGGCAATACTGGGCATTGTACACCCGCTCCAGTCTCCAAAACCCAGTCTGACCATCACAAACACTGTCAACTCGATGTTGTATGGAGTGGCCAGATGGAAAGTGACATCAAGGTCAATGCCTGCCTCCTTTTTATCAAGTAGTTATGATCTACCTGTTCCACTGACCAACAAGAAATGCCCACTCACTCTCAAGGAGTCACTCACTCTCAAGAGTCAACTTTTAGACTAGGTAACACAAACTAAGATGAAAATACCAAAAAGACACACCTGTAAGTATTACCCAAGAAAAACTACATCCAGAACACACACACACACACACACACACACACACACTAGACGTCTCCATTTTCTAAAATACTGCTACTAGAAAAAGTTCCCGTTAGGGTCATTTGAGGTAGCACTGGCACTCAGTGCATTTTCTTGTGAAAGTAAACTTAGGCCGGCGCCGCGGCTCACTAGGCTAATCCTCCGCCTTGCGGCGCCAGCACACCGGGTTCTAGTCCCGGTCAGGGCACCGGATTCTGTCCCGGTTGCCCCTCTTCCAGGCCAGCCCTCTGCTGTGGCCAGGGAGTGCAGTGGAGGATGGCCCAGGTGCTTGGGCCCTGCACCCCATGGGAGACCAGGAAAAGCACCTGGCTCCTGGCTCCTGCCATCGGATCAGCGCGGTGCACTGGCCGCAGCGCGCCGGCCGCGGCGGCCATTGGAGGGTGAACCAACGGCAAAGGAAGACCTTTCTCTCTGTCTCTCTCTCTCACTGTCCACTCTGCCTGTCAAAAAAAAAAAAAAAGAAAAAAAAGAAAAAAGAAAGTAAACTTAGAAAAGGCCAACTGTGTTTGTACGCCTGGTGCCTTCAAAAGTGCCCAGCACTAATGTGTATGAGACAACAATGCCTTTGCTTACCATTTGGAATCTTTTTCAGGGCATCATCAGCAGAAATCAATAACTCACTTGAATATTCATTCATTCTTTCATAATACCTCTGCATATATACATACACATTCATACACATGATTATGTGAGTATAACTCCCCTTGGGCACTCATGTATGAATATATGGCACCCAAATTACTTAATTTCCTTGCAAAGTGTATCTAACTCGAATTTGAAATTTACATTTCCACCTCTTCTAAATGTTTTACATAATCACATTGAGAAAAAAAGAAAAGCTCCACTTACATAAAATTTTAATATATAATTTACATTAAATTAGAATGGTATTGTCCCTTTCATCGGAATGTAATGAAAAGATTTTGTGAAAAAAAAACAAGATGAAGCAGAAACCAAATAATACACAAGTAATGAATATTCAAACTACATCTTAATGATATTCTATACATCTCTGTTAATATGGATCTCTAAAACAAAATGTGCTCACTGAATAAAACCCTTAAAAACTTACAAACATGTGATTTTGTCTTTTTTGCTCCATTATAACTATTTCTTCATCAAAAGTAAAAATGAAACAAGCGTAATATTCTAGCTTCTAGCTTTAGTTCACATAATTTCTTCATCACTAATTACTGATTGTTTTTCAAAAAAATTACACAAAATGACTACTTTATAAAGTGTCACCAGAATCGTCAATATCCTTTGCAATAACATATTTCCTTTAAAATAAAGATAAATTCATTTCAGTGCATATCAGTACACTTGTAAGTAATCAAAAGCTGTTTTTTATTCTATTTTTTATCCTAAATTGAGTTATTATGATGATATATAATACCTAGGAGAAAGAGAGACACTCTCTATTCCAGAACTGCAACATAAAATGCATTTGAGACAAACTCAGGATTAAAGGATAAACTTATCCTTGGAACCTTCCCATCTTTGTCATTTGACTTTCACATGGAAAGTCACCCAACAGTTGACTCAGACTTCCAGAGGTCAGTTGAGAAAAGGTGCCATAACCATGTCAAACAATAGTCAGAGATGAACTCAACATCTTTTCTTATTCAAGCCAATTCTTACTTATTCTGAATGCCTGAACACGTGATGAAACGCTGCACTCGAATTTAAACACCTATGAAAATTAGCATCAGAGATACGGAGAGCTGATTTGCTCTTGCACTACTACATATTCAGAGAATGAGAAAGAGGTAAAACATCTTCACCATGCTGTACTTGAGGTGACAGGGCTGGAAAGGCTACCAACACTCTCAGAAAGGAGAAAGCAAGCACCCTACCTTTTTAAAAATTCCATATACTCGGTATGCTTGATGAGTCCCGTCCGCATCATTATCGTCTGGAAACATTGTCGATCAATGGCCCACAGTTTCACGTTTACAAGAGCTAGAGGAAAAGGAAAACAAACAGGGCAAAATTAATTGAAGAATCTCAACTGTGAACAACATCTTGCAAAAGAGCCACGTTATTCATGAGAGGTTTGGAAATTATTAACCTTTCTCACCCGTTTAAAGCTGCTATCATAATGTTATTCTACTTCATTAAAACGGTGCGGATGCTTACAGGCAAATCTAGTTCATCGTTTTCTCTACTAGTGTTACTGCCTACTAGGAAGGTTTCTGTTGCCCGTATGTCCCTAAGGGATGAGAGTGCCTAAGCACACATTGAAAGGATTGAGTCATTCAAGATTATGAAGAAAATGGCATGGAGGGACACCGAGGCTGACATGAACTAAAACTCCCTGGTAATTACAGAGTTATATGACTCATAGAACCGTATATTAATTGCAAAAATACACATTAAAAACTCAACATTAAGGTTTAGGGGGAGTTCTCCAATAATTGTATAATAACCATTATACAATACTTTCTATACAAAGCTTACTTCACAAATTATAATCTGTGCCCAAAGTTGCAGCATGGAAGTTCTATTAGAAATTTTAGTTAAATTTTAATTTCTACCCTCCCACATCCCTATATTTGACTATGCATAATCAGGTGTTGAAGTCAAAAACTACAGAACTGCATTATTTGAGCTATTAAGTACATAGCTAACAAAAAAGTTTAATTTTTAAAAAATGACAGATGCTTTAGTGTATAACAGAATAATAAAACAAGACAAACTTACGTTTTATAAGATAAGCACACTAAAAATCTTCATAATTTAATTTTTGTGATGGGTTTATGAGAGGTTTCTTAGTCCCTTTACACACACACGAATGTATATAAAATGTCTTCAGATTCTAATACAAAATATTTTAAGAGTAGAGAAAAGGTGTGTGGGTTGTTGAATATGGCTGCTGTATGGGACCAGCACATGGTTTAATGAGCCAAACATGGAAACATTGAAAGATGCCATTCTTTCTTCTTCTTGGTTCTCAGACTGAGCCCAGTGAATTCAAGAGTTCATGACTGAGGATGGCAGGGAGAAAATATTACCAATACAATGTCTGTGTGTGTGTGTGTGTGTTGATTGGTTAGGGTAGAGGGAACATGCTAAATAAAAGGAATATTGTACCACGCAGTGAAACCTGCATTTGAACCATAGACGAGTAATTATTCTTTGCAAAATTGTTGGAGGCTAACAAACTAGAATCATATTTCTTCCTTGGCTAGTTCTTCACTAGGGAAAAAACACTCTGTTAAGTGGCAAAGGAATGAAACAGCAAAAAGTGGTGTGCACATGGCTTCATTCTAAATAGCCTTTAAAAATCCCATTTCTTCAGACATAACGCTATCATAGGTATTCTTCAGCCATATTCCAGTTCCTCTGCTGACTTCAGGTTCTTTTCCAGAATGTCCATTGACTTGACACAAATCCTAAGATTGGATGAGATAGCCACAGAGGACTGGGAAAATCAGGAAAAGATTCCTAAGAAATAGAACTGGAGTGGGACCTTGAAAAGTAGCAAAAGTTGAACTAGATAAGAGGTGCATAAGAGGGAACTGGACAGGTAAATTAATTAAAAAAGAGCACAGCTGAGAATGATCTCAGGGATCCAGGCAGGGGTCTCCCTTCCCACTAGAAATTAGCTTTTCATTCAATAACCAATAGGTACTTTCATTAATAAATGAAATTTATTTACATGAAATTCACCTATAAAAGCACCTACACAAGAATGTAAGCCTAGGTTTTTCTATGGTTGCATTAAAGTATACTGCCTGAATTTGAGATTATCACTGTATTTAAAAATTACTCTTAAGCAGTCATTCCCAGAATTTAATAATTTCATTTCATTTTTTTGTTTCCTACTTACATGGGCTATTGACTATCTCTAAGCAAAACTTCATTCCAGATAACAGCACTACACGATAATGAACATGGCTTGATGCAATTGCAAGCTTGTACATGACCTTGGGAAAGATGTCAAAACTTTTTATGTTCAACCAATGTACATATTAGCCAACTCAGCACTTCATGGGTGGGTGAGCATGACTAATCATTACCCTGCATTCCTATTAAAAACATGGTATATTCGAGTTGTGAATAACATCTTGCTTCTTAAAGAGACTGCTGGAGTCTAAGTCTGTTGTTTCCAGAACCTCAAGAGACCCTTAAAAAAAGAAAAGAAAGTCTCTTCGTGTACTTTTGATCTTAAATGGTCTATTAATCTCTGTTAGGAATAAGCACTTCACAAATAAAATTCCTGTGATTTCCATGATAACTGTTGTTGAACATTTACAGCTGAAGGACATAAAGCAGAGACAGTGTTCAGAAGGGAATGTTCTCTTCTGTTCAAGTGTGCATCTAAAATTCTTTGCTGGAACATACCTCATTTTTTCAGGTTCAGGTTGCATGCCTACTCAGTGGAAAATAGAAACTCCCATTACTGGCAGATCTGTGTGCACAAGTGTGGTGGAATAAGAAGGCCATGCCAAGATGGCTGCTGGCAACAGAGCCTGCCTGGCAACAGGCTGTAATTGGATGGCTTTGGAAACCACATGGTAATGGAGCTTGCATGGCAATAGGCTGTGATTGGATGGCTTTGGAAACCACATGGCAACAGAGCCTACCTGGCAACAGGCTGTGATTGGATGGCTTTGGAAACCGCCTGGCAACAGGCTGTAATTGGTTAGGGCATAAACTGCCCCTTGACCAGATTGGCTGCCTTGGCTATATAAGCTGCTGTACCAACTGAAATAAACGAGTCTGAGGGCTGCTTGCCTCTGGCCTGCTTTCACTCTACTCCTGGGGTCTGTGTGGTGACTCCGTGCCTCTTGCCCCCACCAAGCTCCTCCTCTCAGAATGAATCCACAGCAACACACAAGTATACTGAGAACACCTTCAACAGTGAACAGCTTTCATTTAGGAGATTAGAGAGGAAGAAGCCACAAAATCCCAGTAGACTAAGAGACCATGATTCTAGACTTGGTTTAATTTTTTTTTAACATCATAAATATCTGTATCCAATTCAAATTCTCAAAGAATATTGAGAAAGCATATGTAAGTTTAAAGTTCTTACAGACTCAAGTATTTATTCAGTCCTATTTAACACAAATGTGGCAGACACTGACCCTACAAATAAGGGATGGAAACAAACTTATATGCCCTACCCTGTGAACACGTGATTTAGTTCAGAAATCAACAAGCTACTGTCTATGCCATACCTGGAGTGTGGTCTGTTTTTGTAGTCTACTAGCTAAGGGAAGGTTTTGTGTTTTTACACAGTTGAAAAATTTTAATGTAGCATATTTTTGACATTTAAGAATTACATAGAACAAATTTCAGCATCCACAAATAAATTCCAAGGTCCATAGAAGTCTTACTGGAACACAGCCATGCCCATTCATTTATATACTGTCTCTGGATGAACTGAGTAATTACAAAAGAGACAACATGGACAATAAAACCTAAAATATTTTCTATTATCTCAGCCTTTACAGAAAGTACTTGCTTATCCATGGTCTAGTGTAATAAAGAAAAAAATCAAGGGATAATTGCTACCATGGGGAAAATTTCTGGAGCTGTGAATTCACAGAAAAAGCAATACTCACTATCTGCAGAGGGGAGGCACTGGCTTGAAGGTGGCTTTGCAGAAAGCCATTAGCTCAGCAGGGTTTTTTTCTCTACCTGGTGTTATAGACTGAGTGCTTTTGTTCCTCCCAAATCATGAGATGAAGTTGTAACCCCACAGATGATGAGGTTGGGAGGTGGGACCCTTGGAAAGTGATGATCTCTAGATGAAGTCATACAATGGTGTCCACGTTACGTGAGTAGTGTCTTTATAAGAGGAGGAAGGTAAGTGAGTCAACTCCTTTCTGTACATATGCACCAAAGAAAAGCCACGTGAGGACCTCACCGGGACAAGAGGTATCATCCAGAACCTGACCATGATGGCACTCTGATCTTAGAGTTCTGGCCTACAAAAACCAAGAAAAATGTTCCTCTGGCACCCAGCATCTTCAGTGCCCTATTTGATATAAAATCCTGGTTTCCACAGAGCCCCAAGAAGTATGCAGATGGCACTCAAGGGATTCTTGAGTGTGAGGAGAAAAAAAAACACCACCTTTATTTTTACTAACCTATAACTGAAATTTAGCATTTCTCTCCATTGTAAACATAAGCAACAAGTCACACTTACAGTTTGTCTCCAAGAGAAACCATGGCTATTTTTGTATCACCCTACATTTCTACAGATATCTACACAATTTACAGTAATTACCACTTTGAAATTACAGGAATTACAAAAGCTACCTTTGTATTTTTTAAGTTGCCAGGTTCATATTTTATTAAATATGCTATTAAAGTATTTTACAATACATTGAACTTAAGTGGTTTCCTTTATTATCCTGTATGTTATATGCTTTTAAAACATTAATTGTGGGCCGGCGCCGTGGCTCAGTAGGCTAATCCTCCACCTTGCGGCGCCGGCACACCAGGTTCTAGTCCCGGTCGGGCGCCGGATTCTGTCCCGGTTGCCCCTCTTCCAGGCCAGCCCTCTGCTGTGGCCAGGGAGTGCAGTGGAGGATGGCCCAGGTGCTTGGGCCCTGCACCCCATGGGAGACCAGGAAAAGCACCTGGCTCCTGGCTCCTGCCATCGGATCAGCGCGGTGTGCCAGCCACAGCGCGCCGGCCGCGGCGGCCATTGGAGGGTGAACCAACGGCAAAGGAAGACCTTTCTCTCTGTCTCTCTCTCTCACTGTCCACTCTGCCTGTCAAAAAAAAAAAAAAAAATTAATTGTGTTGGAGTCCATATGCTTCACCAGACTGACTAAAAGGTTCATGGCAGGAGGAAGACTCAAAGCCACTGCTCTAGGTCGGTGTTGTGGCACAAGTAGAGCTGCTGCCTGCAGAGCCAGCATGCCCTATGGCTGGTGCTTCAAGTCCCAGCTGCTCTACTTGCAATCCAGCTCCCTGCTACCAGCCTGGGAAAAGTAGCAGAGGAT